ACAGAACCCTTTTACTAAGCCAACACAAAATGTTGCAGAGTAACTGTGAAACAATGAGCCAAACAAAATTACAAAATGAATTTATTCCAAAGCTGTAAGGGAACATTTACAATTAAACAAGATGGTAAACAGGTGTTTCCACAAGAACTCACTGCATTAAAATTAGATATGAAACTGGGGAAAAATAATCTAACTACTGAGGCCACAAGAACTTTGCACATCACCTCTGAAATACAGGACTCATGTAAAGAAAACTCACTCAAAATTCAGTGAGAAAATAAGCTGCTAGCACCTAGTTACTACTCTAAATACAAGCTATGTTTAGGCTTTGAGATTACATTTTTAAATCCCCTCAAAACACCAATTATAGCCACAAGTGCAAAATGTCTTTTTTTTTCCTCCTGTGGAAGCTTATTACGCATCCAGTGCCTATTTTCAGAGTGAGATTTTGGTCTCACAAATTTGTCCTTGAAAGATTTTCGCCAAGTTTTATGGTTTTTGTGACAAATCAAAGTTTAGCAGCTGTCAGGTAATCAGAAATACAAAGTCAGCTCACATGTCCTGGAATGTCCAAAGTTTGCTGCCTACTGTTCCAGAGTTAAGCAAAAAAAGACTTCTAATTTAGCATCAACAATGTCTCTCACTTTGATATAGTTTTGGTATTTTGGCCATCTGATTGTAGTGATACATATCAAAGGGTGTTAATGAAAACACCTGAGTCAGATTTACAAGCAAATACAAATGGAACCAGAGTGGGGAGACATCACCTTCTGTGGATATCAAATGGCTGAACAAAAAAAAAAAAAAAAAAAAAAAAAAAAAAAAAAAAAAAAAAAAAAAAAAAAAAAAAAAAAAAAAAAAAAAAAAAAGGCAGGATAAGAAGCATTATTCATTCTTCTAAAGCCTAAGGTATTTTACACCAGCATGCCCTGGAACACTTAATTAAAATTCTTTTCCTCTGTCCCAACTTCTTTTTACTATATGCTAATTTCTTTACAATGTTGAAGGACCTGAGAATTAAAAACTTTGAGTGGTGAGAATAAAAGAAAAAAGCACTGTGCTCTTACTTTGTATTTTCTGGGTGTACACCAGTAAATAAGAATCCCAAGTTGCTATGGAAAAAAATAGCATGGAATTTTTAACTCTTCCACCTGAATTGAACTACATAGCTGGAATTTTTCAATGTTACCCAAAATACAATTTTATTTATATATTTTTAAATGCAACTATTGGTTAAAAAACCAACCAAACAAAAAGCCCCAAACAAAAAATTAACACACACACACACAAAAAATAAAATCACCAAACAAGAAAAATACAACCAACCCCCACCCTCCAGTGCCAACTAATCCAGAAATCTGCAAAACACAGAAAAGAGCCAGATACTGCTATGGTCCAGCTCCAGCCTATAAAGCTTAATCACTGCATCAGTCTTTACCCATTCCTGGAATAATTCTAGTCATTTATTGTTTTGTTTTTTTTGCTGTTCATTTACTGAGATTTCACAGCATAACTATAAGCACATATTCATATTAAACATTAAAAATTAATTTGCAAAACATCACTTTTGTATTACAATGCACGGAGAAGAGTTAAGATGTGCAAACCAAAAAACGCCACTTTCTCCACATCTCTAAGTAAGAGGACTGCGTCATGCTACAAGCAAAACAGATTTCCAGCCACGTTGCAAACTTTAAAAAACCAGCATGTATCTCATTCAATTTAATTAAAAATGTAAATCAAAGCAAATTCAACAATGGTACTCTTCTCCACATATTGCAAAATACGGTTACAAATGAGGAAAGGATTACTTCAGCTGCTAATAAGCTTATCTGACATGTATCTCTGTTGTCATGCCTTTCCTGTCCATTACTTAATACATAAACTCAATATAGTTTCAGTTACGCAGTAGCTGACTTTAAGGTTAATATACAAACTGTCAAGATGCAGCTTTTGATGAAACATCTACGCTCTTTTCCAATTTTGAATCCTGAAGACACTTCAAAATTAAGAACCCAAAACTGCTGACTGTAAGCATCCAAAAATACAGCTGTAGTTTCACTATGGACAAGTTGTAGTCCGTTAGAAAAGTAGATCATACATACAAAGGTATAAAGAACATTTAATTCAGTCTTAGTGGAAGGCAGTCCTTGAAGAAAACAATGCTCCAAGCAAACACTTGCTGAGTAGCACTTTCACTTCAGCCCTTCAGGGGCATGGAAGATTTAGAAGTCTTCTCAGTAAATTCTTCCTCGGCTACGATTGCCACGTCCTCCCCAGCCTCTTCCTCGTCCACCCCGAAAACCACCTCTTTGCTCTGAAACAAGAGTTGAAAATTTTCATGCAGGTTTTATGCTGAATACAGATTAAAACTGAGTAGCAATATCTGGAGGTAATGAAGGCTAACTGCAGTCTCTGAGGCTCATTCTGCTTATATACCATGAGGTTGCTAACTTATGCTTTAATGGGAAATGGACCCCAGTACTTGTAAAAGGATGTCAAGAGAACTACCCTCTCTAAATTAAGTGCAGTCTTTCTGCATACTAATACTGTGATACATAACTGTGTCTGTATTTTAGAACTGTATCTGGGGCAATTCATTACCACTGAATAGGAAACTGGCTGCCTAACTCATCTTTCTGTCCAATAACACAATACTGATATTCAGGAGTTAGTCTGACTTACTACTAGTGTGTTTTATAAAATGATGGAAAACCACAACTTTGTCATTCTATATGAACTCTTCTATCCTTAAGCTATTGCCAGCACAATAATTTTTTTTCTTGGGCTGATAACTGTATTCAACTAGAAATCTTATATATAGATGGATACCACACAATTTGTAAACCCTAGGAAATTTTCCCCTTCCCTTTGTTAAGAACAAATCTGATCACAGAAAAAAAAACCCCAAACCAAACCAAACCAAACCACAACAACAAAAAAAACCCCAAACAAAAACCCCCCACAAACTCAATATACGTTATGAATATAGCTCCTTTGGATTTGTTTGAAAATGTATCAGGCCCTCATTCCCCTTTCATGCTTTCTCTTCATGTACAGGCTTAAAATACAGGTCATATTTAACTACAAAAGAAAACTGCATGCTTGTTTTAAAAAGCACAAAAATCAGAAGCTGACCAGAGGTCTAAGCATCTCACTAACAAGAGCAGCAAGAAATAACACATTTCTGTTTGAAAACTTTCTAATGTTTACAACTGCAGGACTACAAGCATACTTAAAAGACACAGGTGTATCATCTGAAGTCTAGAGTAAGAAATTTGCAGATGATATTATCTTTTCTCTTTATTTAATATATCTTACAGTGCTTTGTATCAGTTTTTCAACCTATGAGTGTGGGTGGTAATTTGTCATACCAGCCTCTTTACTTGCCACAGGTAGGATCAGTGTGCATACAGGGAAGACAGGAATGGGCTGCTGCCATTGCTGGGCCTATTCATCCAGTCTGCAATTGCTCTTGTGCTTCACCCAAAAATACAACTTGCAGAGAGACAGAATCAGTGTGACTGGGAGCACGAGGACACTGTGTGGATGCACAGTGAACCTGGCAATTCCCAGAACTTCCGGATCAGGTCTGCAACATCAGCAGTGGCTGTAATAGGAATGCAGCACAGATCCAGTCGTATGACAGGTGACCCAACTCTGCCATTTGCGGCAACTGGCCTGTCCAATAGGAAATTGGTGCAAGTGCTGTGTGTCATAATAGAGAACACAACAGTTCAATTACTAACTCTAGGTATTAAAACACTACTAAAAGTAACTTGCAAATGACATTGTTTATAGGCTGGTATCACTCAAAAATACTGCAACAGATCAACAACTAGGAAGAGACCATTATACACAAAGATTTGTGACAGTACAACTTGATCTTCCAAGAATGTGGTCTTTGTTCCCCCCGCCCCGACATACAACTGTCACTAGACAAAGTTTTTCCAAACTGCCTAACTTACCGTAAGAAAAACTACCCAGGTTACTGCTGTATTTTCCACTAGGAGGATTATATATTTGCCTGGCATCCCTTTTTGGTCCTGCTGAAGCTTTCTTTGGGGGTGAACTTGAGGTTGTATCTTCACTTGCTCTTTTTTGACTGACAAAAGAAAACAAAAACATGTCATTACACCCTTGTGGTAACAAGTACAGGAACAGTAGTTCAGCCTCAAAGATTAACCACTGGAAGCCAACAGCCGCTAATGAAGATGCCCTGAATAATAATACCTCAAAGAGGAAGTAAGTTAGTCTCCAGTTGATTCAGTCTATTGTGTCTCTAAGCAAGATTAAGATAATTTTCCACAGCCACAAGATGTGAACTTCTATCTCATGTGCTGTGTATATGCAATATACATAGCTTGGAAGTTAATTTTTACTGTTTACAAAACAAACACATTTTTTTTTTTTTTAATGAAAAACTCTTACCTTGCATCTGCCTTCTGCACTGGTTTCCAGGACAGTGTAACTGTACTTTTGTAAGAAGGAGGAATGTGGAAGAGATCCTATGGAGGCAAAATTAGACAGTTTACAGTTAAATTCATTGCACTTCAAAACTTTAGTTACTTATTGAGACTCCAGAATAACCATGAATTTCCAACAATTTTAAATCCTCCTTGAAGTCCCATGGCAGAGGGAGAAGGCATTTGCTTACTGCCTTACTAGGAAATTCAAATATGATTTAAATTAATAAAATAGTGTCTTGTACTGACCAAATACATAATCATATAATAGTTTGGGTTGGAAGGGTCCTTTAAATACCATCTAGTTCAACCACCCTGCAATGAGCAGGGACATCTTCCAACTAGATCAGGTTGCTCAGGCCCCAATCCAACCTAACCTTAAATGTTTCAAGGAATGGGGCATCTATGGAGAAAGCACAGGCTTTCTTTCTCTCCCTCCCTGTGTGCAGGGTTATAGACCAATTTAAGGCCATGATGACTGTCCTGATCAGCACCTGGAGGCGGCACTCCCAGAAACCCATTGTCAGATGATAATGGCTTACACAAAAAGGGACAAAGAGACACTCCCCTCCCCACCATGGCTTCCCGAAGTCCTCAACAAAATGGGGAGACTTCCCAGCAACAGACTGATAAGATTAACAAGGATGGAATGTTATGGAAATAGCATGGCCTTTCTTCCCAACATCCTATGGGAACACAGGGAGCCAAACTTTATGCCTATGTCATCTGTCTATCACCCCAAAAATCATTATTGACTATAGTCACTAAAACTGCCTAAGGAAAAAAAGTATAAAAAGAGATCAGACATGAGCAAAATTGGGGAGAAGCTCCATCACCTCTGCAGGGTAACTAATGAGCTGCCCTGTCTCTTTCCACTCCTTTGGACACTGAAGGGACGAGCAACCATTTACTCTGCTTTCTTTACCCTGACTTTGCCTTATAGATTACCGTCTTTCACCTTTACCCCATAGATACCTTATTTACTAATTGTAGTTTGCTACTTTGCTTTATAGATACTAATTTTACCTTGCCCTACACCTTGTAACTTACAGGGTATATATCTTACTTTATGTGTTATTTTTTTTTTTTTTTGATCCTATATTTTACTTTATTGCCAACTCGTTCATGGTTTGCTTTAAGGTGTGCATTTCCTTCTCTTAGTGAGTTAAAATGTGTGTAGTGGGAAGCAGCTATATTCTTTCTTTTTTGCTTTGTGTTAAGGAGTGTGTTTCAATTTTGTTCTAGTCTTTGTAAATTGGTCTGTTGTGTGTGTGGGGGTGCTTGAGTTTTGTATTAAGGCTTGTGTTATTTTGTAGAGCATGCTTCTGGTTTTTGCATTTTTTATTCGTTAAGTGCAGTCGTGCAGTTAAATGTTATCACCGGAAACGCGAACCCTACAGTAGCTTGTCACATACTTGTATTAGTAAAAGTTACTTTGTGAGCTGCTAGTTAGCCCAGTTTGTTTCTGGTGCTGGCAGCCTCGTAACTTGTAGGAGACCTCTGGTGAGAAGGTTCTCCACTGCTATTAAGTGCCATCCCCATATCAGGGTATCAAAAGTCCTGTCCATTGCAGTGCATCTGTCTAGCAAAGGGTCTCTTTAGGTGAGGCACGGACAGACTGCTTTGGGTTTTAAAAGGCTTTGATGTTCTGGGGACCCTGACAGCCAATAAAAAAATACATTAATACAGGTGGGACAAGAAATCTTTGCATTTCTGCCCCTTTTCACAACACTACGCACACCAAGCATCTTAAAATGAACTACAGTGGCTTCTGCAGGGAGACATCTGATATCCCTACAATATCCCTATGACAGTACAGGGTAGGCTTTGCAATACCACGGGCAAAGTTTTTCGTTTATTGTGTGAGTAAGAGTGAAGAGATAAAGGAAAAGGTGGTTAGAAGAAATCAGAATGGTTTCATGGGCTCCAGATGGAAGTCTCTTTCTGCAGCCCATCTCTTCTAGACTCTTTGGAGAAAAAAGTTCTGTATAGTAGCTGCTTTGCCTCCTCCCTCCTCTATATATCCTTGCACCTGTTTAAATTATTCCTTATCTCTCACTGCCACTGCAGGAAAGGGATATTACAAGAAAAAAGGCTCAGCCAGAATCCAGAGACCCCTAGAGCAAGGTGATCTTCTGGGGGCAATCAGTGCTGCAAAAAAGCACCTCAATACCCTATCCTAACAGCAGCAGCAGCAGCAAAAGTTAAGCTGCTAGCATGGTCAGCAAGACCCACCTCTCTTCAGAAACAGTAAAACATGGCAACTCTGAACTAGCAAACACCAACTAACACAATACACAAAGTAACACAATACAATTTTGTTCAAATCTATTCCTTTCCACTGCACAGGTTACTCTGCTGTGGGAATTTACTCCTTCATGATGTGAGGACTTACCTTGATTAAAACATTAATGTTGTTGGTTATTTTCAAGGCAACCACTTTAATCTTGTTCTGTAAAGAAAACCAAAACACCACTGAACACTTATTCTAGTAGTTTTATGCCAACTGCATTTGATGAATTTACATTAAACTGGCTGCTCTTCCTGGTGAATTGCTATAACAATAGTAACAGTGAAAGGTGAGTACACTTCTGAGTTTTCATCACAACTACTCTTAGGCTTCTTGCAGTTTTACACTAACTAATTGTTTTTAATATTCCATTATACTACTCCCTGGTGTTTTTTCACACAACATACGAAAATTTCCCCTTCAAAACAAAGCACAGAGCACAATTAAGCCAATTATATACATGGATGCAGAGAGTAGTCAGCAGTAGAAACGAAAAGAGCATCTTTGCTGGCAAAATGCAGCATCAGATAACATGCATTTGCAATAATGTTAGCAGTATTATTCCCTTAATCTATTTGCATACTTACAACTGACTGCAGCCTATTAATACATGCCAATGGCTATTTCAGTAGGCTCAATCAGAAAAATCAGAATTCCCAAACAATACTGACCTCCTCAGTTTTCAAGGCTTCTCCTGTTTTTCCTTGAAGTGCCAGACGAAGCTGCCGAATATAAACCTGCAACCCTCGAGCAAAATACTGTAGCCTAAAAAATTAAAAGCAATCTTTTAGTAAAATTTACATAGTCTCATAAAAATAAAAGCATAGGCAAAGGGAAGCTGTAATCTTGGGGTTTTTTTCCCCTTTAGGAAAAATGCTCAAAATAAGTCATCCATAAATCTGATTTGTGCTTCTTTAGCATCCAGACAATAATAATTCACCGTCATAGTCACAGAATCATCAAGGTTGGAAGAGACCTTGAAGATTATGTAGTCCAACCATCAACCCAGCACTACCATAATCGCCCCTAAACCATATATCCAAGTGCCACATCGAGATGCCTCTTGAACGCTTCCAGAGACAGTGACTCCACTGCCTCTCTTATTCCAGTGGGCAACTTATTCCAGTGCGTGATCACCCTTTTTTTTTTATTAATATCTAATCTGAACCTCTCCTGGTGCAAAAAAAGCCCATTTCCTCTTGCCCTTTCACTTGAGGCATGGCAGGAGAGACTGACCCCACCTCACTACAACCTCCTTTCAGGTAGTTAGGGGGGACAATGAGGTTCCCCCTGAGCCTCTTCTCCAGACTAAACACTCCCAGCTCATTAAGCTGCTCCTCTTACGACTTCTGCTTCAGACCCTTCATCAGCAGCTTTGTTGTCCTTCTCTGGACATGCTCCAGCACCTCCACGTCCTTTTTGGAGAGAGAAGCCCAAAACTGAACAGAATACTCAAGGTGTGGCCTCACCAATACTGAGTATAGGTGGACAATCACTTCCCTAATCCTGCTGGCCACTCTATTCTTGTTACAGGCCAAGATGCCACTGGTCTCCTTGGCCACTTGGGCACACTGCTGGCTCATGTTCGGCTGCTGTCAGCCAGCATCCCCAAGTCCCTTTCTGCTGAGCAGCTCTCAAGCCACTCCTCCCCCAGAGCTGCCTGGGGTTGTTGTGACCCAAGTGCAGGACCTGGCACTTTGCCTTACTGAATCTTAAAAAGTTTTCCTCAGCCCATCAGTCCAGTCTGTCCAGATCCCTCTGCAGAGCCTTCCTATCCTCCAGCAGATCAACACTCCCCGCCAAGGTAGTGCTGCCCATGAACTTACTGAGGATGCAGTCAAACTCCTCAGCCAAATCACTGGAAAGATGTTAAACAGGCCCCAGTACTGAGCCCTGGGGAACTCCACTAACATTTTCTAACACAAACCTTCTAACAGAACCCTAACACTTGCCTCTAAATGATTACCTGATTTTAAAGTCTTTCAATTTCTCTGCATTCAGCTTGGCTGTGAGGAAGTCTGGAAGTTTACGACCCAGCTGATGGAAACTATACAATAAACACTCCACATAACTGAATTGCAGCTTGGGTTCTTCATTGCCAGCATTTTCCCCATTCTCTGCTTCCTCTGGAGGAAGGGGCATATACTCCTAAAGAACAGAAAGGAAAAACAAAATGAGACACATTTACACAGACTGACAGCTCTTCTGCAGTGTTTGAACTGGACAGTGTATTAATGCTGATAACTTAAGAAGAATCCCCCATCTCTATACTAATGTGATGAACTGCTGAATGAAGTCCTGGTACAGGTGGTTTGCCTACACTTATGTGACTTGATATCTCAGACTCAGAGGAAATACTACCATGGCACTGATACCACAAAAAGCAACAACGTAGTGCACCAATGCTTCTGAAATAGTGCTGACCTTGCTTAAAACTGTCAGTGCAGATACAGTCTTTACTGAGATCAACACGAGTCTTTCACAACTACAAAATTTAAAAAGAAGAAACCCACATAAATCTACTGAATCAAAAACATTATTCAGGTAACAGCCCCATGTATCTACAAAGGTTTTAAATTGCAAAATGATGTTTGACCTTCTACCATCGATAGAGCTACCTCTAAAACATCCACTTTAGAAAAAGCATAAAGAAATGAATAAAAAAAAAAAAGTAACTTGTTTCAATGAAAACTTAGTTTTTTGAAGTGTTTTTACATGAATAAGAAATTAATTAGTCTTACCAGTAGTTTATCAAACAGCTTCTTCAAATTTGATTCAAGCTTTTCCATATCGCCACAAAATGAACTCATTTCAGCAAGAAGCTTCAAAACCTACGCATAAGAATAGCAGGGTTTTTGTTTGCTAACTGAAAAGTACACAGGCTTAACTTTTAGCCTAAAATCAATTATCACATCACTATGGCTGGCACAGCAGAGGTCAGCTATTACAATTAAACCCCTCCCAAACATCAGAAAGGAATACAAGGAAGAACATGCCTAATCTGTTTTTCATGTCCTCAAACAGAAACACAGGTTTGTGTGTCTAATTGCAACAAGCATTAGTCAACAAGTAAACAAAACTTCCATCTCCCACATCTGCAGCACAGCTCACCTTCAAAGTGAGAGCCACAGAGATCTAACTGAAGCTGTAGCACTGATTAATGTAAGCAAAATTATAGACATTAAGCCACTCCCGCAGGAGATTAAATTAGCACAAGCTGTGCAACCATCATTTTCGTAAATGCTATGTGCTTAGAAACAATTGATAGTAATATAAAAATGATTACACTGATCTACTTACTCTACCTTGCCTCAAAAGCTCGGGACAAATGACACATGCTTTAAAAGGCAATGCTCAGTCATGCCTCAATAGTACAAACTTTTTTCCTAGTGTAGCTACTTTTCCTACAAGTCAAGAAATGAAAACTATTTAAGAAAGGAGTTCTCAATTTTAAAAATAGATGTCATCTAACATGCTTATTTTTTATTATTTATTACTCCTGAAAGACATTTTAGCTTTGGCTTACCTCTAACTGGATATCAAGACCCTCCACTGGAGTAGTCAAAGAACTGAGGTTTGGCAGAACATGCTCACAGAAGTAAGTAACAAATTTTGTGGAATGAACATTTTTCTGAAAAAAACCCAAACAAACCATTGCACATTATTCATGCTACTTTGAGTTTGAAGGAGCTAAATGCTTTTTCCCCATCTCTATGCCACCCTTATAAATGCCTACCACACAGCTACACTTTAAAGCTTTATTAAACTTCCCTCTAACTTCTAAAACAGACCCCCTTGCACACAGCTTAAACTCAGAGGCTTTCTGCAACAGCAGCTGAAAAGATTGCTTGCAACCCAAGGATAGGCTTTTAAGAGCTGCAGCTTCCTGGCGCTAGACTTGAAATAATCAAATTCATACAACCTAATGTGAGAATCTTGTCATAATTCAGTATAACATCCTTAATTTGAAAAGACAGTAACACAAAAATATTTTTGTTTTTGGAAGCTTTAAGGATTTTTTCCAACATCTGAATACAGCAGAAGTTGAAGGGGAAGAAGTACTGATATGGGGTCATTCTAACATAATTGTTCAGAACACCAAAGACAAGTCACAGCCATTAACTTTCCACAATACTCGTCATGCAAAGCAAACAAATACATACTGAGAAGAGTGGCACTGCCTGCCGAGTACACTGTAGAAGTCTATCCACACAATCTGGATCAGATGGATTGAATGTTTGTTCCAGGTCAGCTTGTTCGGCTACCAGCTCCACTAGCTGTTGCCTCCCACTTACTGTCTGTAAGCTTTTTAATCCAGACAGTATTTTCATGAACAGAACAAATTCCTCGCCTGTCACATCTTCCAGAACCTTAGCAGAAAAACAGAAAAAACAGTTCTGTGGTGGTAACTGGCAAACCTACAAGTCAAACCAACAAGGTGATCAGTGTCTAGGGCACATGACCTGTGAGGAGAATCTAAAGCAACTGGACTTTTCCAGTCTGAAGTGAGAGCTGAATGTGGCTGTGGCAAATTAACACTAAGCTTTCAATACTTCAGAGCAAGTCACCAAGCGCAGGAGTCAGGTTCTTGGCTGAGGTGGACACAGTGATAATGAGATAATGATACAAAACTAAAATAGGAGGTTCCAACTGGATAAAGAGAAAAAAATAAATTCTCTTGAGGACAATTAAACACTGAAGCTGGTTGCCCAGAGTATAGGAACTTTCCTTCCTTTGAGATTTTCAATACCCAATTGGAAAAAGTACCTAGAAGTCTGATCTGAATTCAGCTGAGCAGAATTCAGCTGAGCATGATTCACTGAGCTAATCAGTTTCCAAAAGACCCTTTCCAACATGAATGATTCTGTGATTCTAATAAAAGTTGCTCTTACAAAAAGAGAAGAGCCTACCATAATTTTAACATTCCCACAAAAAATTGTTGCAAACTTTGGAGTGTAACAGAATAGGGTAAGTACAAGATCACATTTTTACAATATTTAGCTATAGACACGGTTTAAACAAACTCCAAAGCAATACCAGTTGTGTTTCATAATACTTAAGGGATGGTTTCATAACACTTCAATCTGTACTGAAATAAGACAGTCACCTTCTTTGATTCAGTCAATATGAACTCTTCCACCTCCTTTGTCATCACCTCCTCAGGCAAGGTTTTCAGTTTTGTAGAGAGGAACTTAATGGCTCTCTCTCTCACAATATCCTCTCCCTGAAGAATTTGACTGAATAAGCCTCCCAATGTTCCTGAATGGAAAATAAATAAGGTAATGCAAATTAATTTAAAAGTTATGAGCTTAACATTCTATGCAGAAGAAAGAAGTTCACTTGTCTAAGACTCCATGACACGTTTTAAAGTAACTGCTATACTAACTTTTAAGAAAAAACACAGTTTTCCTGTATCTTGACAGAATCCTCACCCTTTCATTGGTCTGCATAATTCAGATCCATGATTATTAAGTTCAGTATCACTTGCAAAACCAAACAGTTACGTGTCTCAGTTTTGCATTGTACTAGGATAAAATATTGAGTCCTGTTCTCATCCTACTAGAGACTGGGAAGTACTAATAGAAGACATATACAGAAAAATGTGTCCTTTACCTTTAGCATCCATCTTAAATATACTGAGCAAAGCATTGTTCACCAAATTGAATTCTGCAGAATCATCTGGAGAGAGAAAAAATCTGATATGCATATACTTGAAATGAAAAGGTAAGAGCAGAAAAACAGACAAAGATGTGTAATTAAACAGTAAGTATTCTGTCCTCAGCACTTAGTGATAAACAACATAACCTGTATTTTTAACAACTAGACTGAGGAAGTTGAAAGCCATGCTTATGAAAGATGGAAGCAAAACACAAAGCTATTTGCCATCTTAGCCTCCCTACCAAAACTTTAACATTATAAATTTAATAGGCATGAAAACCTGAAGGGAAGTTACTAATCAATACATTGAGTTATTTTAAGGAACAGTTGTATTAACAAGCTGACCTTCACTAAATTAACATCAAATAGTTATTTCTTTTTTAACTCTTAATCTACAGTATTTCTAGGTGGCAGAAACAATTTTCCTCTTGAACTAAATGGAGAAATGCCTAAGTCTCAAGAAAACCAAACCAACGCAAAATTCATCTTCTGAGAATCCCAGAGACTTAACCAGGCATTTTTAAAAGAAGTTTAAACACCTAATATTAATCTCACTTACTGAGATTAAAAGTGTATTAAAATCTGAATTTATTTTGACTCCAGAAATATTTATTTTGCACCAAAAATGCATTGTATGAAAGAAAACGCCTTCAGGACTTATCAAGTTCCAGAACCTGGATTAGAAATCCAATAACTCTTTTCTCAGAAGGCAATTTGCTGCAGTCCGTAACTGTAAGGTTCCCCTTGAGCCTTGCCTTTTTCAACAGATGCTTTCAGAGAACTTAAAAAAAAAAAAAAATTATTTAAAAGCAAGATTTTGAGTTTAGATTAGGATGATTAGTGGCCTTTCAGGAGAAGCAGCAGCCTAACAGCAGAGCAATTAGTGGTCAAAAAAGAACAGAAGAAGGACATGAATGACACTGGGATAAATTAAGAATCAATGTTTTACAGAACCAAAACGGTATACATTTTTAGGTGTGCCACGAAGAGATCAGACAGGAAACTACCAATCTGTCCTACCTGACTGTAGAAGCTGGGTCAGTATGTCTGCTACCCGAGGAAGATTATCTCCAGTGGCAAACTGAGGCAATTCCTTGATTGCTTGTCGCCGGATCTGCCAAAATTGTCAGTATAGTAGAAATACAAAAATTTTAACATGTCAGTAATTCCATAAAAAACCCAAACAACTATTTTGACATATTAATGATGAAAGTCATATATTTTTCTTAGACGTAAGCAGCTCTGGAGAAAAATCAAATTCAAACAGTATCTCTGTTCACAAAATTATTCATATGATCAACAAAATAAAGAATGGAATATGTGTAATTATGGAGTTTTATTTGCTAACAAGAAGGATAGTTCCACAGTTGTGCATATGGCAGGAATAAACTCTAGGGTTTACAGTTCCCAGCACTGACAAAAATCCTTGAATGATCTGTCCAAATTGTTTAAGACCGGATAAACAAAGATCTACAAAGGTACAGCTTCTATCAATATCACAGAAGCAGCACGAAGCATCTCAGACTTTCGCAAGAATAATACAGTCAGAGTCACATCCCCGTGGTTCTCAAGCGCAAACAAGATTTTCTTGCCTCCCAGCAGGATTTATCAGAACCAATTACCACTGAGTGCTTTTTGATAGGGAAACACGTAAATGCTATTCAAATAAACTGTAGGTTTCTTTCTACAGAGCTATTCCTTTGATCAATGATGGGAGTGAAAAAGACAAATGAAAACTGATGCATCTTTCCAAACCGTTACAAAATGAATTCTTTAACTGCAGGAATATAACTATATTTAGCTGTCAAAAGACCAACCCTCCTCTCCCAAAAGACACGGCCTGCTAAAAAAAGGAGGAAATAATAGCAAAATACAAATTCAATGTATCAACTTGCTACAAAGTTCTTATTCTTACAGAAACATCTTCATCCTCGCAGAGGTCCAACTGGGCATTAATAGCTGAGTCAGCTAGCTCAGGAAAATGCTTGAAGAACTTAGGAATAAACTGAGCTGCAAGTCTCTTCTCCTTGGCACCTCCTTTCACACCATCCAAGATCACTTGGTATGCATCCTTATGCTGAAAGAGGAAAACCAGAATACATAAATGGAAAAATCTTGGGTTATTCTCAAGACAACGGAAGACTTTTTCTCTCCCAATCTCTTCAACTATTTAAGTAAACTATATTACAAATGTTTCTTACAAAGGAATAGATTTTTCTCTCAGATTGATATAACTGTGCCAATTTCATAAAATTTGCTTCTGTTGCCTGGCTTTTACTGTTATTCTAGTTCATGTCTATTCAAGTGCTCACCGTTCCAATTGCTAACCTTAAGGCTGACGGCTCTTACACACCACCTGTGATTAGGTTACTGCAAGGAATTAAATGATCAGTCACTGAACTTGGGCAGTTTTTCAAGGAGTTTATGCCTTTTGTCTCTTAAGCAGAGGTTACCTTTCCCAACAATTGGACCACTGCAATGGATCACAAATGATTATTAATGAACAACTGCTAATCAGAGATGCTACAGCATCTCTGGCATCTATTCAAGTAGTTAACCTAATCTGAGATGAAACACAGTGCTTGAAAGAACTATTAACATAAACTAGATACAAGAAATACCCCAGAAACCTCTGGTTGAAGCAAAGAAATAAAACTTCAGCAACAGTAGAACATCCTCTAGCTGCTCCAACTAGAATCACATAGGTGTTTTTGATTTTTTGCCTTCAAGATTGAAACTTTAAAATAATTGAAGTCTTTGGTGTGGTTAGCTATGTATTTGTGAAACAGAAGTCTGCATTATTAGGATACCAGCAGAAATCAGAATCTTCTAATTTTCCTCATGGTTGTGAACAGAACGCTTTAGACATGCTTATCCTACTTTGAGCAGCAACACTGACAGCACAGGACACTTTATTTGCTTTATTTACATTAAATTTCATAGAGCCACATATATCATCACCCTGTGTCTCGTGAAAGTTCTCCCACAGTTAATACAGATCCTAATTCACAAAGCAGTACACTGCATTAATGCCCTCCAAAGCAAGCTGCATTTTAACACCTAGTGCCAATGTTCAATAGGCACTCCCTTCAGCTACTTGATGGCTCTCTCTGTTGACAGATTCTGAACTGGGATGGGATACAGATCTGCATGAAAAATAACCGTGAAAAAACTGGCTGCCTTTCAGCTGACCCACATCCCTGTCCAGTTTACTCTGTAGCTGTGCCAACAGAGTGCACTCAACGGCAAAGACAGGAATGAGCCAGCACAGACCAGCAGTGACACAGATGTCATTACAGACATAGGTTCTCAGACTGCACACGAAGAACGTTATTTTTGTGGAACACATTACTTAAAACTTAATACATATGAAAAAGCATTTATACAGCAACGAAACAGAGTCGTCTGTGTTCCATGAATTTGTATTCTTGTATGCTAACTCCTCCTACCATTTAGGCAAAACACAGTTCAGGCAGGAGTTTGTTTTACCCTGAACCTGGCAGCATGGAATGCTCGAGAAAAAACACAGGCAACTACAGAAGCAGCGTGATCCTTCAGTTTTGCATATTTCCTCCCAGTCTGTAACACAGAAATGTCCCAAGATGGGACACAAAGTCTGTGTCCAGACTTTCCTTTTCAGTAACTGTCAATTGCCCTATCATCCATTAACTTCTCTAGGTTAGTTCCTAGATATCTATACCCTATACTGCCCTGTGACAAGTTTCACAATGTGTTATTGAGAGATGTTCATCTTCCTCTTTTAGGACCACTTCCTAACAGTTCTTCTTAACTTCTCACCTTCATTCCACTCATGAAATGGACTCCTCATACCTGCCCGTCTCAACTGAAACTTTTACAAGTTCAATACTTCCAGTCTTTTAAACAACTCCTCTTAATACTTCTGGTGGTCCCCATGCTCACGTTCAACATTTCTTTTTTTTTTTTTTTTTTTTTTTTCACAGGGCGACTGTGACTTTTTGTAGTGAGATTTCACATTCATAAGGTTGTAGAAGAGATAATAAAACAGTAAGTGGGATAAAACTGATGAACGAGGAACAATTACTCATGGCTTCTCAGAATACAACAATTTGAGACACCAAGTAAGATTATGAAAAGACAAGTTCAAAGGAGGTAACTCCTTCACGAAGGTTAATAGAGTAATGGAACATTTTACCACAGAGCATTTATATGCCAGATATATAATCCGTTAAACAAAGTATCAGAAAAGTTCACAGAAGAACAATCTAGCAAGCTATGCTCAATACAGACACGCTGTCTCTGGCTCTGGAAGCTTACAAGTTGGAGTGGGGCAAAGCTGGGAGAGGGCTTTAGGGATCATCATTCTGTACTCACCCTCGGAGGTTCTTACACATCTGCTCCCCTGTCAAAGGCTGCATTTCTTAACAATGCTGGAGTTTGTCTACTTATCATGACTGTTCTTACCTCACAAAAGCTACTCATAATAGCCAAAATGATGATGGACCACTTACTTGTAAAACAGCACAGTAACAGCACGTTTTACTCTGCATCTCTCCCTGTAGTTCCCAACATTTTATTTGCACTTTGGTTTCGGTTCTGAGGTTATGTTTTTGTTGGACGGTCTACAAGGATGCTTTGTTCCACTAGGGCATTATTACATAAGCAAAGTGACGGTACTTGAATTAACATGAAAAAAGACTTCACCCTTCCCCAAACAACTACCATATGATTTGTTCTCTCGAAGAACTTTCCAAGTGACTTTGTACAGAAGCATCTAGTCTAAAATCCATCGCTAGATATATGCAAGGCTATTTTTCTACCTATGGACATAATAACAAAAAAACCCCCAAACACAAGGAAAAAAGTACCTGCTGCTTTTTTAGGTGGACATTTAGTAAAATAATGGCCTAATGCAACTTCAAAACTAGTTTTAACTAACTATAATATTTTATATCGGTAATATACAAAGTCATCCTCTGTTTTTGAATAATTCAGTAACTGTATGAACAAATGGCACGTCTTGCCAGGATTTTACAGAAAAAAAGTATCTTCCGTCGTGAGGGTCGATCTTTCATTCTTGCCTTAAGAAAAAAAAAAAAAAGGGGCTACAGGCAGTTCTCGAACCATAACAGACTTCACAGCAGACTCCACAACAAGCCTCTTAGCAAGACAGCCTGACAGAGGCTCTCCGTATCCGCACGTGCACTGGATCAGACCTGCACAGCTCCCGCTCTCTTCTTTTAAAGACCTAACTTCGCCAGGCTAAACTCCCCGCCTGACTACCCAAGGAGTAGTTAATACCCGTGACGCCACATATAGGAGGAGAGCCGACGACACGACGCGGGTGCCGCAGAAGCACCGGGAGCTGGCGCCGTCCTTGCGGACCCGCAGGCGCGATGCTCAGCTTCACTCGCCTCGCGCCGCCGCGGACCGCGACCCAACCCGCCCCGCGCACAGCCCCGCGGGCTCGCCGGCCGTGCGGGGGTCTCGCAGCCCCTCCGGCGGCACCCCGGCCCGTCCCCGCCCGCCCCGCCTCGGCCCGGACCTCCCCGCGGCGGCGCTACGCAAGCCCGAGGCCTAGCGAGGCCTTGCAGGCCGCAGCCACGCCGCACCTGGCCCGCCGTCTCGGTGGCGTCCGCCAGGATGCCGTAGTTGCGGTAGAGCTCCTCCACAGTGGGCATGGCGCGGCGGGGAAGGGGCAAAGCCGCCGTGACACCGAGCCCGCCGCCGACGCCGCCGCCGCTCCAGCCGCCGCTCCCACTCGGGCCGCGCCGTCAGCACCAGTGAGGCGCGGGGCCCGGAGCGGCCGCGCCGCGCCGCCCGAGCGGCGCCCCCGCGCGGCGGGCGGTGGGACCGCAGGGCCCGGAGCGCCGGCGCGCCCCCGCGCGGGTGGCGCCCAAAGTCAGCGCGCTCCCGCCGCCGCCTGGCGGGGAGACAGCTCACCGTCAGATGGTTTTATCCTCCCGGTCCCGACACGGGGCCCTGTTATAGGGTGCATTCGTCTGCTCAGGAATGTGCCCTGGCCTTCTCCTTTTGCAGCCTTACTTTTTTTTTTTTTTTTTTTTAACTTTCCCCGAGCTTTCCTTCATATTCCTCCTCCTCCTTTCCCTGATCACTGCCTTCCTCCAGCGCCTCGTTTCTGTTTCCCTTTTTTTATCTCTCATATACAAATATGATAAAAGATGCTCGGGAAGTGCCTGTTGCATGCTGAGTTCCTGGTACAGGAAAGAGACTGCTTTCCTGTGACTTGCTGACTTTCATCTTTTCCCGCAGAGGAAAATGCTCTCTAATTCTGGCCTATAGAAATGGAAGGACCTGCAAGTAGTGTCAGTGGAGACTGCACATGAACATTAGGCTCAAATGACGAAATATAAAGTGTTGCAAAAGTAATGAGGCTGTAGCAGTGTCTTCTCCTCATATCTCAAGATGCTTTATCATCCTGCAAATATCACAGGTGCTTAAAATGAAAGAGGAACTTCTCTTATGTCAGTCAGAGGCAGAGCTAAACAAAGTGCTGGACCTCTCTTAAATATCCTTCCCAGCAGGATGAAGGGTGCTGTCGGAGGCATTTGAAGCCCTAGTCTGTTTCCAGAGTCTATGCAGGCAGACCACACGCAGCAGGGATGTACAGCAGAATCAATCATTTACCTTCCTTTTGTTTTTCCCCTACTCTCAGTGTTTCAGCAATTGGCAGCACTGACAGCATTAATCACCTTTCTCCCCCTCTTTGAATAGAGGTCCAGTGCCTTTACCTGTCCGCAGGTGGATTCATGTCATTCTTGCAGGCTGTGATGGGGTCTGAGGGTGTGGAAGCTTATGACTGCTGTCAGATCCAAGAGAGCTTTAACCACATCCTGACCCTTGATGTGTGGGTGACCGTCACTTTTACCCAGAGTAATCTCAAAAGAATACGCTAATTTTAGTAGTGCGAACAAAACGTAACATGAGAAAAAATTTATTTTTAATGCAAAAAAAGAGCTGCATGCTTACTTGAGCTTCACATCTTCTAGGAAGGGAGAGCTTCCTCAGGCAGCCTGGTGGATATTAAGAGATGTCAATCTCTTGTCCTCCAGCATCTTCCAGACAGCATTATATCTGAGTGCAGATTTTAAAATACAATCATCTTTATCAGCACTACCATGGCAAACTTTTACAACTTGGTCTGAAAGGAAGAAATATGAAATGTTTTCTCTGAGGTTCATTCCATTTCCACTCTTTGATGTTAGTATTTTTTCCCTCAACTACTTCATTGTTGCTTTATATAATTCTTTTAATTTTTTCACTCCTTACAACAATTTCCATTTTCCTGTCTTTACTTACGTATGACATATTTTTTATAATGAACCTTTTTAAAATGAATCGCAATTTGTCTTTAACATTTATACAGAAGGAACATGAATGAAGAACTGATTGTGTTACACACCTAGGAGACATTATTTGTCAGGGATCTCTCTGTTTGTTAATGTTGGGATATTTTTGAAAATGTATCTTTAGAAACACAAAAGCTTGAAATGCACATTTGAGAATGACACATAGTCATTCTCAGTGAATGAGTCAACAGTCAGACTGCAGTGCAAGTCCCCTAGTTTCACAAAATATGATTAATTTGGCCATCAGTCAAGATTTTCATTTCTACTTTCTTTTCAGTGTTCTCAAGCCTATGCAGATGGAGATAACCCCACAGTAAGTTAGAGACTCATTTGATAATGCAGTGGTATCATTATACACTTGACTCCCATTCCTGTGCACTGCCCATAAATCAAGTATCCTAGAATCATTGCAGGTTCTCCAGAAGAATAATAATTTACTTGTGAAATTGATAAGATTTGGTTTTTTTCCTCAGAGGAAAAAAATTGCTAATTGCTGTCCCACAACTGCTGTGGTCTTTGGTGGAGGACAGACTTCAGACAAAGCCCTAGGTGTGGCAATAGAATCCTTTATTATGACAGAAGGAGAAGACACGCTTAAAGAAGACTTCACACTGGAACAGTGGTTTAATCACAGGAATCCTCATGTACCAAACCTGAAAGGTTTCTGTGGGCCAGATACCCCGTGGATAATAAAGAGGCTGAAATAAGGTCCATTTTTTGGCTTATGCTAGATGAACGGTTGATCCTGAATTCTCCTCATCTCACTTTTTAGAAATGGGCTTCAGTTTTAAGCAGAGCATAGTTTTACAAATGAAGGGATATAGCAATTGTGCCCCATCCATCTTAAAAATTTAGTTAAGTGTTTTTCAGAAAATGGTGTCCACGTAACACTCGGTAATACAGTGAGTGCATAACAGTGTTCACAGATGTAAAGCCTCTTATTGGCACACATTAAAGACATCCTGCATGGCTGCAAGCACCTAACTGTTGTCTTCAGACGAGCAGAGGTTCCCTACAGATTCCTTCTGGTGTAATCGGATTTTCTTGCAGAATTTCTCCCCGGCAAGGCTGTGGGGGCTTCTTTTTCCCACGGGAACGGCAATCCCGTGGACGCGCATCCCAAGCGGTGCCAGCAAGCGGCGCTCTGGCCCCGCGGACGCGGCCGTGCCCCCCCGCCCCGCAGAGGAGCCGCTGCGAGTCCGGGAGGATCCGCTCCCGCAAGCAGGACAGAGCCAGGCCTTCGGGAAAGTATCGCGCTGCAGTATTGGCAGCCGTGACGCATGACTGTCTGGAAAAAAAAAACAAAACAAAACACCCTTGCACCTCGTTTGTTCCGAGTCATATCTACAAATTTAGCAAAACAAACAAACAAACAAACAAAACCACCAAAAAACCACCAAAAAAACCCCCCAAAAAGCGGAATTAGAGAAATACAGGGAAAAAAAATGGAGGAAGGAAGGAGGCTCATCATACAGATAAGAGGGAGTCTGGCATCACAGAGCCAGGAAATTGTGTGGGGTCATAGAGAAAGACAGGAGTCTGGTATCATAGAAGTAGTAGAATATCTAGAATCATAGGGGAGCAGGAAGGATCTTATCATCTAGCCAAGAGGGGATCTGGTACTTAAACAGCTCTAGGGAGCACAGGCGAGCAGGAGTGCATCAAATGGAGTGGTCAAACAGGATGTGGTGGGTCAGAATGACGTGGTGCATCCGTGTGTGCGGCAGTTCATGCAGGAACATGAATGGGAATGGCACTGGGGTGTGGCTGGACAGGCTGTTAGCTGAGCTGCTGGTCATACACTTGGTAAGAGAGTGCAAATATGGTGTACACCCAGCCTGGGGCCAAGTCCTCTAACCTCATCAGAAAGATGCCGTGACCTGGACAGAGGTCACAAAAAACCATGCAAAACATGCAAAAAACCCATGTCGCTGTCCAGGCTTCAGGCTGTAGGGAATGCCTAAATCTCCAAGTGGATTGTAGTGATGGCAGCTGCATCGTATGTGACCAGGTGGATGACCTACTTAGTCTGGTATCAGAGTTATGAGTTGAA